GGCTAATGTATCACAAAAATATTTATTACTCATAGATGAGTGTGGTTTAACCTTAATTATTTATGCTAATACATCATAATGTTCCAGTAAACGCACTGCGATAGGTTTTTAGGAAGTAATGATGGTCGTGTAGCATGAGAGCTTTCTGCAGCAGACTGTAAGAAATCACGATTTTTTCCGAGTTCAAGTTGTTATTAACATTTTCAGCGACAAGGTTGTCTTACAGAAAACTCAATATATCTGTTTAGTATTTAATAAAACAGAGAGGAAGCCACTAAGGTTTGAAATGATGGAATACTCTCTGTTATAATTTAGCCAGTTTGGATGCATTATTGTTGCTGTTTGCTTGGTAAGGTAGAATACATACAGCTTAGAGTGATTTTAATAGCAATTGCATCACTTTAAGCACAGTTTATGAGCCCTGTTCTAGTTCATTATAAAACCAATTTATTACGTTTAGTGATATTAATAATCCTAATAGAATTAAAACTGTAAAACATGATTACAAGCAATCCTTCAGACAAAAAAATCTGATCAAGGAAACTTTCAAGTTTAAAATGTAAATTTCAAAACAAACCACTTTTAAAAAACGCTTGGAATTTTTGAACAAGATTATAAAATATTACAAAGTCAAACCTATTTTTATTACAAAAAGAAGTGCCATTAGATATGATTGTTACGTGCTTAGTGATTCATGGGCCTGGTTATATACATGCTTTGTGATATATGAATTATTTAGTAAGAAAAATCACAATAATTTTGTTGTTACTCAAGAATTTATAGGTTGACAGAAAAACAATTATGCAGCCCCTGAAGCTGGTCTGATGGGGTACAGTAACATCATTAATGATACACTGGCATTTTTGTTCAATCTAACTGGCATAGTTTAAGTTGTAATTTTTCAGTAATTGTGTATCATACCTAGTCTTTAAAATATACATAAAACATGCTTGTAATCCGCTGTATTTCAAAATAATTTAAAGCACAAACCAAACATTTAATAATTCAGCCTAAATCGAGTTTGCTGTCGTTTTGGGTTTGTTTTTTGTTTTGTTTTGTTTTTTTTCAGTTCAAGATGAGTTTACTGTGCGAAAGAGTTTTAAAAGATTTATTTGAGGCCAGATTCTGCTCCCACTGAATTGAAAGTAAGATCAATTTATTTCCAGATACTTGGTTCCCAAATGGTCCTTTGCCTCTTATTCCAGAGAGCCTGTGCAAGGTGTTTCTGCCTGTTCAAAGTGACTGCAGAGGGGCAGTGGGAAGGCATGGAAGGAAGACAGCGAGTTTTCTGCAAGTTTCAGTGCAGGGTTTAAGGGATCTTAATCTATACACGTATTGATCAAGCGGGTACACTTGGGTGATTCTTTCCCGGGAGATGTGTTTTAGAGAAGAATATGTTTAGAAAGCCTGGATGCTGTTGACCTACTTTTTTTGTAAGCCTAAGGGAATTCATTTTGCTGCACTCACTGGCAGTGTGAAGATGTGGGAAGGAAAAAAAGGTGAATTTCACCAGGGTATGTTATTTTACCAACATAGAAAGTTATGTACTCATCTCTTTACAGAAAAAAAAAAAAAAAAGACATGAAAACGTATGCTGCTAAAGCAATGATCAGGTGCCATTTTCTCTATGAAGTGAAGAGCTTGTCCTTTGTTATTTGTAATACCTACCTAGAAACTGGTACAGGGAGGAAGCAGAGATGATAAATTGAATTTAGTGAACCAAGGACTGGCATTTGGATTCTGATTCCTCCGAGTGCGTTCCATACACTGTATCTGAAATACATGTAATACAGTACAGTACTGGTAAGACAGTATTCCAAGCCATTTTTAATAGTTAAAATGTCGAATAACATTTAGTGCAGGTGGTTAACCCAATATTAATGATTTAGTCTGTTACATGGTAAATGTATTCGATTCCTGTATCATAGCTGGGCAAATTCTAGTAGTAATGAGGTTCCCAGAGATGCTCAGTAGGAGCTATAATGAAAACGTCAGACTTCCTTCGTCTTTCCTCAGCTTCCTTCCCGTGCCTTGTGTCCTATCTAACAGTCTGAGCACAGGACTAGAAGAAATTAGGTTTGGATCTTAATGCTGGTTATAGTGCACTTCAAGTCCTGATATGGCCCAGTGCAATTGGCATGAATTTACCTGCTTTTGTTTCCACTCAGTATTTACAATGAGCATATTGTAAGGGTTGTTATAAAAATAGCATGTAGCACGTGTATAAAGAAATGCTGCATAAAGAGGAGTATGCACGTTCTAAGAACTGCGTTTTTCACCTGCATCAGCCTGATCCCCTCCTGAGACGGAGCTCACACATCCCTCTACCAACGGCAAGGCAAACCTCCTAGCTACAGGTCCTGGAACAGGAATGCTGAAGAATAGGGCCAGGGGAGTCAGTTCTTTCTTTCCTCCCTCATCTTTTTATGGAGTTTTGGTAGAGGGACTCAAAACTTCATTATACGATGTCTGTGGTAGTGAAAAGACAGAAAATGACTTGTGTTCCATAACCTCCTTTGCAGTGGGAATTAGCGAGGGAAACAAGTAATAACTTACTTCCTTACTTTTTGAGGGCCTTGCAAATTATCATAACTGTGTTCCAGGCAATCAGTGGGGGACAGCATTTTTTCCATCCCGCTCACCGATACTCCTGTGAGATTCCACAGCATGGCAAATCTAATAATTTTAGTATTCTTCTGCGTCAGCATTCTGCTTTTCCTTGAAAACAAACATTTATTTTCTTTCCGTGGCCATCTCCGTCTCTTCTCCTGTCCTCTCTAGCCGCAATGGAAAGCAGCAGAGAGCAGCAGCAGACTGCAATGAGACAGTTGTTCTTGCGCTTGTAGCATAAAACCAGCCTCGAAGTCTGTGGCACTGACGGAGGATATTTCGCCCACGCAAATAAAAATAGAATTTATGGAAGTCATGGGCTTCATGATCCTCCTGTAATTAAAGAACTGATATATTGTTCCTTTGCAGATTTTGAACATTATTTCATTGTGGATAGACAATAACTTTGGATACGTAATTATAAATAGGAAATCCGTGCGTATTTCTTGCTGACAGCATGTCATTTGGATTTAGTGGAGACAATCAGACTGCTTAATTTTTTTTTTTTTTTCTGTGGCTTTCTGGAATTCTGGAACTTTCTGTGTAGGAAACTTTTTAAGAGGAGATTCTTGGGGCAGTCAAGTACTGAACTTTAAGAATCTGTTATGATATGTATTAAAAAATACCAGTGTTCTTGCTGCACGTATTTTCCCTCAACGTTGAGGAAAAATATAAAAATAGATTTTGGTGAAGTTATGTTCCCATAGCAGAAATTCTGCAGGATGATAAAAGAAATATTAAGTATTTGCTTCAAATATTGGTGTAGCTAGAATGAAAATTTCTTATGAAACATGACTTTTAAAGAAATAGGTGGCAAAATCAAAGCTGTATCCAGAAACACATGCTTGATGTGCTGTACATCTTAAGATATAGAAAACCTTAAAGTTTGATTACAGCTGCATCAACACAAATCAGAATGGGGGATTAAGGTTATGATTAGCCCTGGAAAATCTACATAATATTTATGCAAATTTGTCAAATTGAGTTGGTTTTCCCCATAGTCTTGTAAATGAGAGAGACATTTTAGAAAAATTGTGGTTCTATAGAAATTCTATGATTTTGTATCCTATTCTTTAAAATTTAATAGAAAATGAATCTGATTGAAATGAACCTGACTGAAAGGTATACAGGGACTGTAGGTAAAAGGTTCATTTGAACAGAAGGACGTCTGTGTGGGCAGCACCAATCCCTTAGATACTTAGGAGTTGGGGTTCTATTAATTTCTAGTGTAGGAACTAAATTACAGAGTTATTGAACAGAGAGGGGATTTATCTCTGCTAATGGCCATTGAAAGAGCCTTTTTTTTTCCAAAGCTTAAAAAAAAATATAATTCTCATATGAGGAAGCTTGAAGATGTTTCAGGAACTAAATCAAATATACCTTCCATTTTTCCGCCTCTAAATTGATATAATTCACATAGTCCAGTTTGTCATATATGATAATGTGACAGATTGTGATAAAATGTCTAGATCAATAGCCTACAATTGAGATTAATGCTCTTCTCCCACTAAGAACTGGGAAGTTTTGTGCTGCGGAGCTGTGCAGAGCAGAGAGCCTTCCCTCTAACTTCTGCCAGGCTAAAAACTTTTTTGCAAAAGCTGAACATAGCATATCACGACTTGTGATTATGGTACCAAGTTTACATAGGCATCTCACTCAAAAACATAACCCTTATTTTCTGCTGCCAAGGATGCTGGATGTAAGCTTTTTACTGGGATTTTCTTTCATCAGCTATGCTTTCAGATGGGCTGTGTTTTGAAATGGGCCGTTTTCAGCTGCACCACTGAACAGACATGGAAAAACTTGTTTGTTTTTTTTTACCTGGAGTGTAGGAGATATTTAGCAGAGTATTCTGTAACGTTGAGGAAAAGCGATGTGACAGCTATGGGCAAAACTGCTTAGAGCACGTTAATACGGCGTTTGGGTATTGCAGCCCCGTTTCCAGTGCTCCCATTTACCGGCGCGCGGGTTTGTGTCTGCGTGTGTGTTTTTGTTGGGGGGAATGAGTAACCTGGAGACAAAACCCCCGGGAGTTCTTTAGGAGAAGCCGTCAGCGTTGGAGACCCCAATTCACGACTCCCAATTTTGAAGACCGGCAGCACTGGGGTCTCCCCACGCTTTTTGACTGAGGCAGGAGTCCCAGCCTGACTTGGGTTTGATTTGCTGTCTCAACAGTGGTTTTCCGGTTAAAAGGCGGCATCATGGAAGGGTTGGGGCGGGGGGGGGAAGAAAAATAAATTAAAATCGGTTCATCAGCGATTCCTGCTCGCTCCCCGGGCCGGGCTGACACAGCGCCGGCGGCCGCGCCCTCCCCACAACATGGCGCCGCCTCCTCCCCCGCCTCCCCTTCCTCCTCCTCCTCCATTTGTCCCTCCTCCGGGCCCCTCACGTTTTGGTTCCGGGGCAGCGAGTCCTTCCTGCGGGCGGGGCGGGGCGGCGCAGGCCCGGCTCGGTTCGGCTCTGCCCGGCCCGGCTCGGCTCTGCCCGGCTCGGCTCGGCTCGGCTCGGCTCGGCTCGGCTCGGCTCGGCACCCCCCCCCGGGCCCGCCGCAGGATGTGAGCCCGGCGGGGCGGGGATGCTCTGGCTGCTCTGCGGCCCCTCCCGCGCCATGGAGAGCCAGGCGCTGGTGATCCGGATCAAGATCCCAGACGGAGGGGCCGTCGACTGGACCGTTCACTCGGCGTCTCAGCTGCTTTTTAGGGACGTGCTGGTGAGTCCCCGCGGGGGCGGCGGCCCCGGGACCCCCCCCCCCCCCCCGCTGCCGCTGCCCGCGGGGGGCTGCAGCTCCGGGGGTCGGGCGAGGAAAGTCGGAACAAAAATTCTTGCTGGAAGGCGAAAGGTGTTTTGTGGTTTTGTTTTTTGTTTTTTTGTTTTGTTTTTTTTTTTTTTTTTTGGGGGGGGTGTGTGTGGTGTGGTTGTTGTTTGTTTGGGTGTTGGGTTTTTTTTTTTTTTTTTGTTTTGTTTGTTTGTTTTATTTTGTTTGGTCCTTTTTTTTTCTTTTATTTTTTTTTTTTTTTTTTTTTTCCTCTCCCCTCAGGGACGGTCATTTTGCTGCCTCCTGTCCACACTTGAAAGTTTTAATGGGAAAGCAATGCCGGCAGAGGCTGATAAAAATCACAGGCGTGGGGCAGCGCCGGTGCCCCGCGCTCCTCGCTTTAGGGGAGGTGGTGCTGGAGCAGCGGCACGGGCTGGTTTTGCTCCTCCATGCAGAGAAACGCTTCTTTGCAGTTGCTCAGGAGGACCCAAACTGCCGAGCGATGGTCCCAGGCCGTTGGGAAGGGGCTGAAGGGTTGTTTCCTCCCAGGCGTTGACTGTGCCTGTGCTGCGATGGGCGGTGGGCACAGGGCATCGCTTTAGGGTGATCTAAAAAGTTGTCGTTTGGAAATCAGGCGCAGTAACGCGCAACGTGGGCTGTCACCGCACTTGCTTTTGCTGATATTGCCCATTTCTGTGCTGTGGGTTTGTTGTACCTCCTTTGCTCTGACCTGCCCTCAACCCTTGCCTGCCTTATTTTCTTCTTGTCTGCACGTTAAGTATGCACAGATCCTGTGTTCACTCAGAAATGGCAGGGGGGGTACTTATCCCACTTACTGTTTCTTCTTGATTGCATCCTTAGCCCAAAGAAAAGTCTAATCCTTGTGTGCAGGTCATACTTTCTTTCTTCAGGATGCCCTCACTTTCCTACATAACAAATCCCTGCTAGAAACTCCGTGTGCTCCTATTTCTCTACAGAAAAGTCTTCCCATACCACACATCATGTGCATATATTTATTTTATTCTGTTATTAATATTGGAGAGAGATTCTGTAGATCTCTTCCAATATGCTGCATTTTACTGAGAAGAGACATGGGGATTAAGGGGTTGATTTGCTGGAAAATGTTAATTGTTGGACCTTCAGAAGATTGCAGAGGTAATTGGAGTAGATGGCAGATGTTCCAGGTTTCAGTCTTTCTAACATTTAATGTTATCGAAGGCTTTCTATAGTTGGAGGAGAGGGAGCAGAACTTGTAACAGGCCTGTGAGGTTTTGGGGAGGAACAGTTTCCCCTTGGCGATCGCTGTGAGTTTCCAGTGGTTACACAGCAAGCCTGGGACAACTCACTCTACCGTTCAAAGACAAGTGATGCAAATGTGAGCCAGGTTTGCTCCACATTCTGCTTCATATTTTCATTTTTTTTCCCAAATAAAGTGAGATAATCACTGATGCTTGGACTCTCCTTTGGCATTTTAGAATTAATGGAAATTTAAGTTTGGTTGTATTACTTAAAATAGAGAAGGGTTGTCAGGTTGAGGGCATGGCTTTGCAAAACCGTTTTGCTTTTTAGTTTTCTTCCTCGTTGCTTCAGCAGAAAAGCAGCTGGGGGTATACGGGCCTTAAATTTGAGCTGTGTAATCTGTTTAACAAGTAGGTTTAAAAAAAGTGCTGTTGATGCTTAAAGTGTGTATGCAGTGGAACCGGAGCCCAGGGTTTGTTCTGAGGCTGTGGCCCTGCAGCGGTGCTGACCCTCTGGGTGCTCCAGGAGTCTTTGTTTTGGGACAGCAGTGAGCTGTGGGGAGCTGTGTCTGAAGCTGGTTGTTGTAGCTCCTCTAGTTGCTTCATCAGGCTCCAGCTGGGGCCAGTGTATGACTTTTTGACCTGAAGTTAAAATGAACCTGTGTCTTCAGGTATGATACGATGCCAAGAGACAGCATGCCTTTTGGAGTCAGACCCCAGATAAGCAGAAGCACAGTAGTACAGGTGTTGAAGGAGCTCCAGTAGGCTTTACCTGCATTGATTTATTGGTTGTATCAGTGCAAAGTACTGAGCTCTGGTCTAGTGAGATGCCTGGCTGTGAGGAGTTTGAGTGATTGCCTCCAACGTGCTGAGAAGAGAACTCGACAGAGCCCCTGACATATGAAGTGCTTTTAAGAGTCACTGTGGTCAGTGAAGCACCCAAAGTCGCCAACACCTGCAGTGACCTCCAGTCACGTGGAAGTGATGCTTCCTGAGGGCTGTGGCTGCTCTTAAGCCCGAAAGAAGTGAAAGGATAATGAAGGAGGACACGTCAGGCAAATCTTCAGCTTGGCATGTCTCGGGACTCTGTTTTTTCACTGCTAATCTGTTTAGGGAGGCAGTTATGTGGGGAATCTGTCATAGAACAGGCATTGCAAAGCAGAGGGACTGTGATGTAACGGGTCACGCAGAGCATTCTACCTCCTGCTACAATGGGCTGACCCCATCAGCAAGCCTCCAGTTTGCTCACACAAACCATCCCTGCTCTGAGGCCGAGAGCTGCAGGCGGGTCTGGCTAATGCCCTGTCACGTCTTGCATCGCTGTTGAAGTCACTGAGCAAAGAGAAGGTTTCTGATTCTTCCCCCTCCGCGCACAATTTTGACGCTCATCTTGCTTGTCTGCTTGCAGCCATCTAGCAGATCTGTTGGACTTTTTAAAATGTATTTTTCCATTTATGAGCAGGTTGAGCTTCCGGTTTCATGGCCTAGGTGTTAGTTTCTCCACTCAGCCGATGACAACGGAACGTGCCAGGAGCATAGATGGCTCGTTTTCTTACAAAATCCCAGTTTCTGTGGCGGTACTCACATTCACTGATGTTCTTCCCAAACTTCTGGAGCGTTTGTGTGGGAAACTCTGTATGTTGAGGCAGCCACGAACCGCTGAGTGATGCCCATGGCCTATGCTGCAGGCACTTCTGTCCCAGCTAAGCACAGCTGCTGAAGCGAGGAGTGTACTCTCGTGCAGTTTTTTCATTTAGCACAGCAGAGCACTGTGGAGAACGGCACCAGGCTGGTGGCCACGTGTCCTGTTCCCTCCTCTACGCGATGCAGGTTGAGATCACTGCGTTAACAGTATTCTGGGAAGATACAGCTGCCGCAGATGGCCTGTGGTTCTCTTCACCCAGCTCCTCTGCGGACACAGGTCTGTCTCCAGCCATCTGCACGCTGAATTATTTCCACCCACTGATAGAAGAATATGAATGGTTCCTGGGTTGAAATGTCCCAGCTCTTTGTCAGGTGAAAGTGGATAGATTTCTGCCTCAGTTCACATCTGTGTCGGTGATGATAATTTCCAGTTACGCACTGTTAAGCTATTGCATTGAGGGCAGCGGTGACAGCAGTACCTCTGTTTTAACTGGAAGTGTTGGATTATGTATGGTGAGTCAGGAGGTGATGACACATTTCTCGCCATCAGTGGAAATCTCAGATGTGGGGATGACGGGTGTTATGACAGTGTTCAGCTGAGAGTGCAGCCATGCAGTGGTACCGTTCAATGATTGTCATTTTCATGTCAAAAACCCTCTCTTGTGGACTGTGAAATCTTAAGAAGGAAGAAGTTTAATAAGGTTTGAACTGTCTCAAGGCCCTCATTTATCTAACTGATTGTGTTTCAGGAGGTGCCATCACAGTGTGCATATGCACTTAATTTATCTCGTAACTACAGAAATTAAATGAAGTAAGGCTCCGTACGCTAACGCATGGTAGATCTGGCCCTGCATGTGGCTGGAGAGGGCAGGAGCAGGGCTGACCCAGGCTGCTATTGTCCTTCTGCCTTCCCTGTAATTTCCACTCACCTGGTAAGCAATTATGGAGGGCTTTTGTGTTAGAGTATCAATTAAAGATAACGTGGAGAATTGAGACATTCCCTACTAAGGTAAATTACTGAATAGCAATAATCCAGTCAGACCCCACTGTTTCCCTTACTGCCCATGTCTCTCTAAATTGAAGACAGAGGAATGCAAGGTACCCCTTTTTTCTCAGCTCCTGCTGTTTGGGGCCCAATCAAGCTCTGAAAAATCCCCGTTGTTTGCCCTGTTTAGCTCTGGTCTGGCTCCGCGTGCCGCTGTCCGGGGCACGGCGGGTGCGAGCCTGCTCCCTGCACCCCTGGTCCGAGTGGTTTGATGAGAAGTGCCATCTCGCCTGGAACTGCAGAAGCACGTTTGCTAGCCAGTTCCAAAAACCAGGCGCGTACCCCCAGATCTCCAGCATTGATGGGAACTGGGGGCTTGGGGGAGCCTTGAATTAGCTGTGTGGTAAGGCTGTTCTTCCTTCTAAGCTAGGTCTTGTGGTGTACTTTGTATTAAGAAAGCCCCATAAAATTATCTTTGAGAACAGTGAGATTTCTTTTTTTTTTTTTAAACACGATTTTTGCTAATTTAGCATCACGGAAGCATGAACAGCCTTGTGAATACAAATGAGCCTAGCCTTGCAGGGCTTCACAGGCTGGCATGCAAGATTATTTCCATCCTCCTTTTTCAGAAGAGAAGCTGTGGTGTAGAGTTACCAAATATCCTGTCTGTAGCCACAGAATAACCTGTTGGAGTCAGGAGTCTGGTGCTCAGTGCAACGTCTTACATGCTAAACGACGCAGTTCTTAATTTTCATCTGCTCTAATTCTGTCTCTTGGAAGAGCCTTTACAGGTACTAAACTGTGCAGCAGGTATTCAAACTGGAAAACCTGATGCCTGCGGGCTGGTGCGGGTGATTGGCCTTGAGGCAGTCGGATGGTGCTTGACCCGTGGAAGTGGCACTGCTTGTATGCTTTGGGTTAGGTGTTTTCTTGATTACGTTCCTAAACTGGCTGCTAAGAGTTGTTCTTCATAATGTCACTTTAAATATGTTCTGTGTATATCAGCTTTGCAGACCTGTAAGTTACTAGTAAACAGATTTATTTTAAAGGCGCCACTAAAGGAATTACAACAGACTTATTTTTTTTTCATCAGACTCTAGGTTTGTTTGCCCTGGCTGTCACTAGAGTGTTTAGGCAGTTGGTGTTAATTTAGGATAACTTCATGATGTCATACTGAGATAAAACAAGTTTTAACTGAAATGGGAGTGAGGGCCATGGGTTCAATATTTACATTGCTGCTTAAAGTATTGCTTTCACATTGTCTGCTTTCTCACCCAGGGAAAGTGCTCCACAGCTCTTCTAGAGAGCAGACTTGATAGAGTTCTTGTTTCAGCTGCTGTTCCCTGATTTTCCTCCTCATCCTTAGAGGCTTTTCAGTTTTGTGAGATGAAATAGAAGCTGTTATCTATGTGAGCCCACTTGAACAATGTCTAGAAGTTGTAGTATTTTATTGTTTGTGATCTCTGTTGTGATAGTAGAAAATCATCATGCACACGTAATCTGTTGAAATTTAGAGTAATCTTTCAAGCTTGGGTCACTGAGAGGTCTGCTGAATGTTTGAGCATGGAAGTCTTGTGTAGCTGATGAAAATAACTATGGTAACAACAGAGTAATGGTGAAATTTCCCTCCCTCCCACTCCCTGCAAGGCTAGGTTTTCTCAGATGCGTTAATAAAAATATTGAAAGTCAACCAGGGCAAAGTTTTTGTGGCTGTTGGTAGGGTTTTCTTTTCAACTATTGATTTAGTGTAAGACAGAGTTATGGCGCATAGTTCTTAAATTCATGTGCTTGGTTATTACCCATTTTAAAGAAGCCCCAACATATAGAAAAAGTTATTCTGACGGGGTGTGTGAGTGTGTAAGAATTTATCATCACTGTTTCGGTGCTATTGTGGATTTGACAGTCCTGGAGCTTTCCCAGCAGATATTTGGGGCCATCAAAACTGTCGCTGTCTCGGTGCCACGCTTACGCGCCTCTTAAATACAGTTTTTAAAGACCCCAGAACTGGGGTCCTTTTCTGCTAACAATTTTTAAATCCGTTTCATGGAAGCAGCTGTGTGCCCACATAAGAACATTTACAAGTGGCTTAAATCTAACACAATTAAAGTGTGTTTGCTGAGGAATTTTCAGTGCTTAACCAAATGGATTTAGAAATAATTAGTTAGCCGTAGAGTCTTCTGTTTAGTCAAGACTTTAATTTCTTGTTAGGAACAGAGGATGCAGCTTGGCTGGCTTTTGACTGAAAATTCGACAGAGCTGTCAAACCCTATAGAAGTATTTAAATGGAAGAATTTTTGTTAACGTGGTAATGTTTTGGGTTTGTTTTTTTTTTTTCTTTATTTTTTTGGTTCCACAGATTTACAGTCTATGTAATTAGGTATGCTGTATTGCATGTCTTTTTGTATACAATTAATAGTTTAAGTTACATATTACTGATTTATTTTAGCATCAAAAGGAAAAGACAGCATGAGAAAGTTTTAGAAATATTGTTTCAGTTAGCTCTGTGGAAATCTTTAGGTTGTTTTTGTGCTTTCTCATTGTATTAATTGTGTCTCTTTAGCATAGCACGGAATGTTTAATTTCCTGGTTTTAGACTAAACAAAAAATAGAAAAACCAGAAATGACAGGACCGTGATCACTAAAGCTTTGGTATGGGGGGGGGCGGGGGTGCTTAGCACCCCGAGATGTTCGCAGTGTATGTGCTACAATAAATATTGTTGTTCATTAATTTCTAATCACTTCGTGACACTGTCAGTGGAGGGATTGTCTGACATGAGAAATCAGGCAGCAGGAAGGAAAAAACCATGCTGTGCATTTATGCTGTGCCCTGACATGACATATTGCAGCCTTGCGAAGGCTGACAACAGCACATGCACTGGGAGGCCAGGATGACTTCAGTCTGAGCAGCTATTTGTCACTGAATTTTGAGTAAATGCTGTATATAAAGGCTAAAAAAAAAAAAAGTGTGTGTGTGTGTATATATATATATATATAAAAAAAAGAGCTGTCTTCCTCTTGGTTTAGTTGTACAGGGAAGGCTTATATTGGCACCGCACGGCATGGTCGCAACGCCAAGGCTGGAGGTTGCCTTCTAGGTTAGTGCTTCCGCTTCTCCAGGTATTTTAACCTTGTTTCCTCCAGTGTTTGAATCGGTCCACCAAGTTTTGCAGAAGTTTAAACTCCAATTAAGAATGACAGAGAGCTCTCCAAACTTGGCGGCTTGCGTGGAGTGGAGAGCATCTTGAGGCACAGCGCTGCTTTGCGAGGCAGCAGCGGGAGCTCGGCGCAGCTGCTGGGTCCCGGCGCTTTCCCGGGCCGTTGCAGAGTCAAAGCAACAAAAATTTGTTCAGTCTCGCAGCTACTGTTTTAATTCCCCGTGGCAGCCCTAAACCCAGCCGGAGCTGTTGGTTACCCTGATGTTCCTGAGCTGCAGGCAGGGCAGGAGCTGGGGCTGTGCGATGAGGTTACCCTGTGGTGGGAGAGGGGACCGGGGCAGTTGTTTGGGGGTGAAGAGGAGGAATTGGGGTGATGTAAGCAGAAGGACCGAGAGAGAAAACATCCTTTCTTAAGTAAAAAGCCATTCATAAACCTCTGTTTTTATGACTGACTTCGATGAGTTAGTACATTTTTCTATCACCTATGGACAAAGTCGATTCTTTAAACTGCAAGATCAGACAGCACTGACTTGTTTGCAATTATGATTGAGTTATTTGTAAAGATAACAGTTTTTCTCAAGGTAATGTGAAGAGGAAGGGAAGAGCACTATGATTTGTGGTGTACGCTAAAAAGTTTGTAATTTTGGGGCAGTGGTGAGTAGCAGGTCTTTAGGTTTTCAGCCTGCAGCTGGGGAGTGATTAAGATGATTTACTCTAAATCATCTCAGGCATTTTCCATTTGATATACAGCTAATTCTTCTTTACATTTTAGGATGTCATCGGTCAAGTTTTGCCAGATGCAACGACAACAGCATTTGAGTGTAAGTATGACTTGTATAAACTGTCTCCTTTGTCACATTACAGGGCTGTCATTTATTAAATAAATAATGTTTATGTTTGTTATATGTTACAGTTAAATATTTATGCATTAATGCAAGTTTAATGTTGATACGGAACTAAGCAATATTTTATTATTTAATCACATCTTGAATGAGCATATTTCTACAATATAGCTTTAATTACCAGCATGACCTTACCGTGCTCTTACTCCTCACTGCAATTATATTGCTCGAATTAAATGAAAAGTATAAAGTACCTGTTAGGTCTAAGTTTTTGAAATTTTAATCCTCCATTGAAAGAAACCAGAACAGCAGCTTTTACAGAACTGTGGTACAACGTACAGATTTTGTACCAAATATAGCAGCATTAGAAATTGAAGTTTCCTCTCACTGGAACAAACATTTGTTTTTTGCTGGAAGGACTGCTGTCTGTTTAGTTTTCCTTTTTCCCTTCTGCTGGGCTCAGGCTAAATACACCATCATCTCTGTCTCCTGGGTGAGGGTGGGAGGTGGCAGTAGTTACTCAGCTTCAGCTCCTGGAGCGGGTAGGAGAGCTGCAGGGAAATGGCACCTGGTTACACTTGGGCAGCAGTAGTAACTTCTAAAATGCCATGTGGGCCTGGTTGAGAAGCTGGGAAGAATAATTTCTGTGTAGGATCTGAGAAAGCTGTAGGTTGGCATTGCCCGTAACAGCACCTGAACCTCGTGGAGGTGGTTATATTATGCTTTTGCTGAGTTAGGAAAGCTCTCGGTGATCATGTTAGTGCAGATGTAGACCTATATGTGCTAATCTCTATTTCAGCTCTAGTCTTTGCACCCTGTTTGTTTTTATTTTTGGCGGGATTCCTGGAGGATTGTCCTATCTGGAGAGCAATAAGCTGCAAAGGGGAGTCAAACATCTGTGTCTTGGGGGATAAGATACCGAGCTAGATTTTTCTTCCAGGTAGAGAGGGCTCCTGCTATTCCCTTTTAATGTTTATTAATTCTTTTTTTCTATGTAACCCTGTGTATTCCTTTGATAGAGATGGTAGCAAGAAGGAGCTGGAGGGGATTAGGAAGTGTTACACAAGTAAGGCAGTGATGCTGAAGAGGAGAGAGCAGATACAACAAGATAGGGCCTTGCATTATTAGTAGTATTTCTCCCCTTTCTAGAGCATTATGGATAATTCTGTGTGTAGATAATCAAAAGAAACATTGTTTTACAGTCCTTCAAGTACTATTTAGCGCTTTCCATTTTTCTTTTCATATGTTTATGTTTTCCTCTCCTAAAATACCAGAAACCTAAGAATTGAGATTGTGTTATATCTCCGTAGCCTCAACATTTCTTCTGCCTTGCTTTTTAAAGCAAGACTTTCTTCAGAGACCTGAGCAAAACCAGGCTCCAGACCTTGCCTTTTTTTTTTTTTTTATGAGTTGTTAATATTTTTTTTACATACCTCCCACATTGCACATTAGCTTTGTTTGAACTTCATGCACCAGTAGCAGTCGCTGCAATCAGGGCAGTAGCCCATATTAATGGTACCATGTGTAGAACTTTCCTGGAAATACTTATTTCGTTGTGTCTTCTAACATCTGCTTCTGTGCTTTCAGTTCATGTCTCTAGTCTGTCATTTACATCTGCACAAAACCATTTCCCCTGCCATTTAACTGGCATCTAAAATATGTTATGTATATTGATGCGTGATTTTCCTGGTTACTTTTTCCATATCAAACGCCTGGATTTTACCAGCTTAAGCTGCATCCTCACCTGCTTCATTGCTGCTTCAGATGTGGATAATTGCCAGCCGTTGTAGGCTCCTCTACTGTTTGTTCAGTCATTGTTATCTACAGTGTACCATCCACTGCGGCTCCTACCTGGGGCTGCTCTTCTCCTGCTGTTGGACCTTTATGTGGATTTCTCCACTGTTTTACACATCGCTACAAATAAAATCACTAACAACATATGGCCTGTTATGATCCTTTTATCCAAACTCTGCCATTTTGTATATTTGTGACACACTGCAGATTTTGTGAAGATTGCTTCATAATATTTGTTTACCATCTGCTGCACTCTATTTGGTATCTTGTGAGGATTTCTTCCTCCATTTTAAGTGACATTAGCAAAATCCAGCCAGTACGTAGGCTTTTTTGGTTCTACTTTTGCTTCCCTAATGTGCTGGAAAATCGTATTGCTGTGCTCTAGGCAAGTAGAGAAGCCTGGAAATCTTTCTGAACCCATGTGTCATCATATCTAGCTAGTTTTTGGGTTGTGCCCACTTAAATGTCATGATAGGGTGGCAGAGGATCTTTGCACAGATACAAGAAATATATATATTTTTTTTCCCTGGTTTTGCTCTTTAGAAGCATCACCTGGCTAGTTTAGATTTGGCTTTTTTAATGCCAGGTAGCACTTTCTGCCTTTTCATCAGCCTATTTTATCATTTATTCTTTTTGTACCACCATCAGGAATTTTGCAGTTCTGGGAACTTTGGAGTTAATTTCTTAATCATTTGCAATGAATAATGTGTGATTATTTTGTTGTTGTTGTTGTTTTTATAAATATTTTGCAAGCAGGCTCTAAGAGTTTTTCATCTTTTTTCTTTTTTTGGTGGTCCCAGCTCAGTTTGCTCCCTCAAGCCAGGTTTCTTTCACAGCTTTGAACTCTGTATATTCATCCCTCTGTCGTATGTTTGCCCTCTTCTGCTTTTTACTCTGATCCCTTCTTGCTGGTGCACGGCGTTCATTGTGTTCACTGTTCCAACAGCTGCTTCTTCAGCCTTTCGAACTCCGTTCCACATTGCGACTGGGACTTGGGTTTCGGCCAGGTAGCAGTTTTACAACTCCTCCTCCTTTCTGCTGAAAATGTTTCCAGGCAAGGAAGCATTCAGTTTCAACTCACTAACTCTTCTTAATCTTTTCATCATTCATGACTCGCTGCAGGCTGGTAACCCTAGCAAGTAGTTTTAGCAATCTGGCAGTTCACCAGTTAAATTTCCATGAGACAAGGCTCTTGTAGGACACTGCTGTGCTATCTAGTTCCTCTTCCAACTTCCATGTTTCCAGTGTCCCTTAGCTCTCTTCCAGTACATTTTTAAAGTGTAATTCTAAGTGTTAGGGTTTCTTTTAATTATTAATATTATTTCTCTATTGTTTTGTTCTCTTCTGCATTATGTTGCTCTTTTCCTTATAGCCTCAGAATTACCTGCTAGGTCTTCAGAGGCAAAATGAACAAACTCGTTTTCTGGAGTAATTTTAATTTGTTGACTCAGATCTCTTCCCAGATTCTTCTGCATAACTAGGAGCAAGAGCGAGTTTTCATCTAGGGGTATAATGGCACTTTTTAATGCTGATGTAGTCCACAGGGGCTGTGATTGGAGAGAGCACGTCTGTAGAGATGGGGACAGACAGACAGACAGACAGACAGACTGCCCCCAGGCTCTGCTCGCATCCCGAGCTGGTCAGGAGCAAACTTGCTTCGGTCCCAAAGCCGTGTAAATGCACTCGCTCATCTCCACGTCCTCGCCCTTTGGTATTTAACCAGTGTTTGAACCCTCGGTGCACGTTAGCTCGGGCAGAGATCTTTTCTTTTGTGACCGTACGGCTTCCTGACCGGCGTGCTTGCGACTCGGAGCACGGGCAAAATTGTTCTGGTCTGCCCGTCCTCGTGTGTGTGGATGTGTCCTGACACACATCGGCTTTCAGGTAGAGGTGGGGGTCTCGGGTCTTTTAACTATCCCAACTCAAATGGGCCTGCGTGGTTGAGATTACCCATCATAGATGTTTTCTGTCAAAAAGGCGTGTGGAGTTGTCAATCTCTGGTATCAGTTGGATGTTTTGTTGTTGTTTGGTTTTCAAAGAGCTCCCTGTCCAAAGGGAAAAAAACAATGTAAAACTAGGCTGTACACCAATGTGCTTTGGTTTTGTGGGTTTGGTTTTTTTTTTTTTTTTAATAAGTATCTAAGGAAGATACTTAAATTGCAGCAGGCAAAAATTGGAGACAGATCATTAACCCCTCCCTTCTCCCCCATAGCTAGAGCAATAAAAAGAAATGAACGTTTTGAAGCTGATTTGGAGGGGAGGGGTCCGTTCCGTTCATCTGGCGAGCGGTGCAGCTCGCCCGTGGTGTGGGTGTAGGAGCTGTTCCCGAGGAGCGGGGCAGGAGGGGACGGGGTGGTCGCCCTCCCGTCGGAGGGGAGGAACCGCACGGGGAGCCTCGGCAACCGCGGCTGGTGACACTGGAGCGTGTTGTTGCACCAGCTGGTGCTAATGGCGGGGATTGAGCCCCCTGGTAAATCTGCACCTGCTGAATCCCGCCATATGTCTTTGGAAAAGTCTATTCCTCCTTCAGATCTTCGTATTAATAATTCTTTCTGAATGCCTTGCTCTGCTGGAGCCTTTCCGAATCTCGCTCCCTTTCCCATGGTTCTATTTCTCCAGCAGCCTCTTTCGTTACGCCAGAAGTGCCGTGTCTGTGCGTTTGTGGCCGTGCCCGAGCACTCATCACAAACCCGTGATTATTGCCTGGTAATGCTGCTCGAGCCTCCTGCCTCCTCCTCACCCACACTTCCACTGTGAACAAAGACGCAGCCTGGTTTTGCTCATTCACAAACTTCTGCCTTTGTCTAAATCTCTCTCTATAAACGTTGCGGATTTGTGTCTGCTTGTAAGTTAATGTTTTTAAGTCAGGACTGCTGTGTCATGAGGAAGCCGAGATGCCTGTAACGATTTGTAACAGGCATGGGGGCAGAGGGGTGGGAGGAATTTGGTATAGGGCAGGGGAGATGAGGTAGGGTTGACAGTAAGACCAGAAGATTTTAATGGGAGGTATACAAGTCTTTTTTTTTTTTTTTTTTAATTTCTAGTCATTCTGATGAAAGAAACTGCCAAAACGTGATTCCATCTGAGAGGATCGAAGCACACTAAGAAACTACATTCTGTTTGCTGTGTCAAAAGAATACCTTGATAGGTTTCAGCAGGGGGTATTATAGCATGTGCAAGGCAGTCGGCTTCTGGAGAGGGGCTGGCAGTAAAGGGACTGTTGAGAGCAAAGTTTTGGGCACTTTGTTCATGCCCTCTTTTTAGATGTAATTGTAGTCTCTGTTAATTAACGTTTGGAGTCACTGTACATTATTATTTCAGAGTACCCGGTTACCTGTGTAGTTGGCTTATACATTCTTTGTATTTTTATTTGCTTGTAAAAGTCCAGGTAAAAACCTTACGTATTAAAATTGTAAATATCCTTCTTTCATTGTTCATGAACGTAATACATTTCTTTGTTAGATGAAGATGAGGATGGTGATCGGATTACTGTTAGAAGCGATGAAGAAATGAAAGCCATGCTATCCTATGTAGGTATAGTATAACAAATGTTAATATTTTCCATGTTTTCTGGTTTCTGCTTGTGTATTTTTGCTTGTATCAAAGTGTTAACGTCAGCTGTAGTGTTCACAGTACAATATTTCTGTATTAAGTTCACAGTACGATACTCCTGTATTAAGTGTAGGTGTTTAAAAACTGTATCATATGAGATATATGGACATTCTTGACTTTTTGAAAAAAGAGACTTGTACACTTACTGATCATATCATAAACATTAAGAATAATGCATCTTAATGACTTTTGCATTAGGTATAGTGCAGGCTAAATGGACTATCAATTTCTTGTATTTTTTATGCAGTACTTAAAGTAACGGCTCATTAAAAATGAACCCCTGGGCTCTAAAAATTTTTCAAAATCTACTTTCATCTGGAGACTTTCACCCCTCCTAACAGAAGAGTTTCATTGTAGCTGCAGGCTCAATATTCATAGAGGATTTAAAGACGTATTTTCTGTTTTTTAATATGAGATATATGCGTGTCTATGTGTGCCTTTATGTACGTAGATGTGGGTAAAATCTCTATCTAGATACCTATAAATATAAAATCTGTCTCCAGAAAGTATGCAGTTACTGAAACAAAATAATTTGAATGGAACTTCAATGTATCTTTCATGTTGCAGTTGTAAGTGAAAAAAAAAATCATTTAACATTTCCTTTCAAATTAAATTGATAAGCAGGAAAATAACAAATGGGTGTTTTCTCTCTAAGCCAGATGGAATGCTAGTTCCTTACAAAGCGCGCTTCTCGCTGGGCTAATGCCTTAACTGGGTTTATATCAGAAACAAGCCCTGTTCAGTACCTTTTGTAGGTGGTTTGGGTGGGACTGAATGTCTTGGTCGGGCTCAGTCGCCCCCAGCTCCCCGGCGCAGAGGGAGCGGAGCGGGGGCGCGCTTGGATCGCCCACGTCTTGCGCGAGTCTCTGCTCGATGGATCGCTCTTGGGCGCGTGTTCTCCAGCCTTTGGCAAAACCCCGTTGTTGTGAATTTGGCACATCAAAGGATCGATGTGCCCTACGAAGGGGGCTTGTTTCCTAGGCTTCAGGAGGGCTGGTTCCGACCTTCTTGATACCTTCAGAGTTTGTACTATTTCTTGCCACGCAGCGGCTGGGGTGGACGTTCGTTGCCTGGAAGTCTGTTAGCAGACCTTGGTTCAAAGAGACTTCAGTCATTGCCTGTGACTTAATCCTGGGGTGAAAGAAGTGCAGGTTCCAGATGCTGGTGATTGATCTCTGTGAAACTCAAGGGGCTTATTAAATAAACCCCACTCATGCGCAGTTTTCTCTCCAGAGGAGGTGAGACCGTTGTAATACAAGTTCGATATTAAAGACAGTTGTGTGAAAGAGGGGAAGAAAAATCTTGCTCGCTTGTTTGAGGGGTTTTTTAAGTTTTGTTTCATGCAACTAGATCACTGGTGATGATTCCCCACTGAAATTCCTTGTATTTCTTGATTTTTTTTTTTTTTTTTCCTTATAAATGTCTGCCATTTTTGCTGTTAAACTGGAAAACTTGAATTTTCCTGGCACAGTTTTAAGATTAATCATGCTTTTGTAAGGTCATCTTTTTGCTATGCTTCCAAGCTTACTGTTAAAGTTTCAGTACATTAGAGTTATGATTGCTCAACTCTCTGCTTTCCCTTAAAAATTATGGGATGTCTGTAAATGACTTCTTTCCGCTTGAGCAGCTTTTCTTCTCTGAAAATTTCCCCTTCGGTTTTAAACTAGTTTTCTATTTGAGTGTTGCACTGATGTTTTAACTTTCTAACATCCTATAGGTGTCATTTTGGGATATGTTTATAAGAAAACAAATATTCTTAGCCTGCAAGAAAAGTAATGAATCTACTGTAATCTTGAAGAATATACCGGGGAAGAAAAATACTAATTTTTGAGTATTTTGAGGCCTGCAACAAATATGGAGGATTAAACAGCTGCTGAAATATTTCTAGGAATTTTCATATAGTGCGATTTGCCTCCAGTTCTGCCTAGTATTCTCCAAAATGAAAGTGAAGGGTTTTCTTTTAGTTTAAAAACATAAAAATAATTCCCCGAGAATACAGATCTCTTCTGTGCAGGTGATGTTATAATTGGGGAACATGTTTTGCATCATGCAAGACCTCTTATCTTTAGGTTCTTTGGTATCTGAACTTGACAGTAAGTTATTTTAGGCAGTTCTGGAATTATTTTAGAGTACGCAGAAGTACTTTGTATTGTGCCTATGCAAATATTATGGAGTGGTAAAATTATTTTTCTGTCGTGCATTGTGGTTAATTAAAGACAGACATTGAGTAGCAATGGAGTTGCACTTTAGCTGTTGTCTTGTATCAGTATAAAAAGGCAGTAATTTTTTTGACAGCCACTGATTGGAAAGTTGCTTGCAGCTTTCTGAAAGCAAGGGGTACATGCTCTGGATCAATAACTGGCAAATTTTCCATTAAAAAGAATACCTGAACATTGTTCCAAATAGCCACTGGCATCTTAATTTTCCATGGAAACCTCAAATGCTCATGTGTGGAGGACAAGTCATTTTCAGACAATTTTTCCAGACTACTTGTTAACAGTTATTGCTGTCCCAAAAGGTTGACAGCTTACATGATTGATATTTCATTTACTTGTCATCACTGTTTGAGTAATGGAGAGGCCCATGGTTTTTTCTTTCCCTCTTTTTTTTTTTTTTTTTTTTTTGGTAGGAAACAGCCTCATGTATGTATATTTTAGTTTATTGTTCTAGAGAGTATATCATATGTTTATATTGTGTATATATATGTCTTCAGGTCATAGAATGCCACTAGTAAACTGGTAATAAAAAAGTTTGGTTTTCTTAAGCAATTTTGGTCCTCAGTGGAGCTGGCGATTCCCTCACAGATCCGTAACTATTAAGTACCGGTGATGCATTTTTATGAAGGGACGTGGGGGAGGATTTGACATGTTATTCGTGACACCCCCCCCCTCCCCCCAATACAAAATAAGTCTATGGGGTAGTCGTGACTCCTGAAAAACCTCTTGATCGTTTCAACAGTGGGCTTTTGTAATGAATAGCTTTGCTCTGTATAAGCACAGCAAAATCACATGTCACGCAGTTATTTAAGATGTGGATTTGTATGTTTGTACGCTAATATGAATGAGATGCCCCCCTCAAAAGTCTGGTGGTGAGATTTTGAGGGAAATGCTTTTAGCAGCAGGCGTTGTACTAGATGTACTCACAGGAGGTGAGGCTGGATCCTTAAACCCTCAGCAATATTCTTCATAACAGTTTTTTCACAAAAGGGAAATTTCTTCCTGCTTCTTGACACAAATGTGAAAAACAGTTGCACTGGAAAAACTTCTGCGTATAAATTGGCCTTAGTGTCCATCTAACGTTTGCTTACTATAGTTCACGTGTTTAATCCCATTGTAAGAAGAAAGAAAAACGTTTATGTACCATTAGGTAGCTCATACACTTTCGCCTTTTTTAAGTTGCATAAGGAAAAATGCTTGCATTATGGGAAACCGTTGGTGTGAGTGAAATACATGTGTTTGATTCCATAGAGGCTTAGAATTTTTTTTTTCCCTTGTTGACATCCATTCTTGCCAGTTTGAGTAATAGTATCACAAAGCGCTGGTAACACTGACATGCTGAAGTCTTAGACCACACTTGGCTGGTGAGAATTAGCATGAAAGTCAGTAGAGCTACACTGATTTATGCCACGAAGATCTGGCCCACTGCCAGCGTGTTTGCTTCAAAGATGTTCGGCGATTGCAGAAGAAACGCGCCTTGTGATGTGGTTTCAGTATTTAACACATGGTGATGAGAGACGTGGGGATTATAGTCAGTAAACTCATAGCAAGGTCCGTCTCCTGCCCTGGGATTGTCTGGTCGTAATGTTAACTGTCCTGTCTGGTGAGCATTCACCCCTCCTCAGGAGTGAGGGTCAATTAAAAAAGGCTAATAAAGATTTCAGTTTATTTAATCCAAATGTGTATTTCTTCATTTAATGCCACTACTCATCCTCATCCTTGTGCCGCTTCTCAGGCTTCCTCATACCACGTTGCATATTTTCTGCCTTCCTGGGTCTTGATGTTCTCAGATACTTTTGCATCCCTTTTTGTCCATTCCTAGCTTTTCTTTATCAGTAAACGTGCCCCCGGATCGCTCCCAGCTCTTCCTGTGGAGTCCCAGGACTCAGTGTGTGCCTGGGGTGGTGTTCTGCATACGCTGCTGTGCGTTACATTTATCCGCTAAGGGAATGCACGACATCTCCGCTTATGTGGGATGTGGCCCCAACTGCCCTGACTGTGCTTCATCACTGCAAATTCTTGGAGAGTTTCCAGATTATTTCCTCCCTTGGAGTTTTCCTAATTGCACGGTTTCTGACTATATTTACAGCACTTCTTTGTTTCCACATTTGACTGGTTTTCCCGGCTTCTCCAGGTGTGGCAACTGCTGTGTTTGCTGTAAATGTTTCATTTGCTCGCTCTTCTGAAGCTTTTCCAGGTTTCAGGTGGGCCTGAAACTTGCTTAGCTGAGCCAATAACAGATCCCTGCGCTGGGTATCGCAGCCCCTTGGTTACGTTCCTCCCGTGCCGCTTTGTTGTGTGAACGTTTGCAAATGGTAAGAAGGCATTCTAGAGGCTGATATGTACCATGGCAATTTTTAAAAAAAATAAATACATTGAATTAAACAATCCATAAGTGCTCTTACTACTATTCATATGTTACTGAGTAATCTCTTTCTTTAATCTCTTTGCAGTATTACTCCACTGTAATGGAACAGCAAGTAAATGGACAGTTAATAGAGCCTCTACAGATATATCCGAGAGGTAATGCTTAACAAATTCTAATCAACAATGATGATATCAGTAAACTGTTTCATCAACAGTTATGTTTTTGGGAGGTTTAAATGCACGTAACGTGATGTTTACCTCTTAATTTGGATAGAAGAGTTCATTATAGTGGGGAGTGTAGCGAAAACTACATTTATTGCATATAAAATAGCTAATTTACTGGAGTAAATTAGACTAACAAGATTCACTTTGCATAGTACATATTTAAGTACATTTAAAAAACTCATCGGTGATGATTCTGCATGTATTCAAACCAAAGCAGATGAATAACTTAAGTTTGGGGTACTTAGGAAAATTGGGCTTTGTTAAGATCTTCTAGTATCATTAATTAGTCTAACAGACTTGGGGAATGTGTCTGTTATTGTCCATTTTGAAAACGGGAACATGTTTGTTACAGAAGCTCTGTCTGTGACACATTTTATTTGAGATTTGGGCACTTAGCAGTGGTATCAAAATGATCACAAGTACTTTAATAGTTCTCCTGAACAGGGAAAGATGTAATCAGTTGTGTGGGCTGAGGCAATTAGAAAATAGGTCATCTACATCCTGAACAAAAATCCGTAGGCAGCTAGTTAGGTTTTGGGAATGCACTGCTCTCTCTGAACTCAAATAATGGTTAAAAAAAGACTAATGTATTACATAATTCCGCTGATTCATTCAGATGCTCTCGGTATATCCAGTCTTTGAATCTGATTCTTAATTGATGAAACAGATAAGGTTTAAATTCTCCAAGTAAATCTCCCAGCAATAAATTAATTGAAATAATTAAAAATTAAACTCTTCTCACTTAACTGATATTATACAAATAATCATACTATGAGTTTCCCAATTAAACATTCCAGACTTCCATTACTTACAACTCTCTGAAGTTTGAATTGGGCAATTAACCAACAGCCTTCTCAAACACATGCTAATAAAGTCTCAAAAGGAGGCTGGGTTTCCTGGTAGTTTAGTATGCTCCTATGGAAAAGAGACTTGAATTCAGAGGGAATATGGAGTCTATTTTTCTTTACGGCTCAGGCTAGCAGGATCCAATTGAGAGGGGGACTCCCATATATATATATATATACACACACACACATATATATATCTATAATATATATATTATATAGTATATATTATATATTATATAGTATATATTATATATTATGTATTATATATATTATATATATATAATATATATATAATAATAAATATATATATATAATATAAAAATAAATATATATATAATAATAAAAATATATATTAAATATATATATATTTGAGCTGTGGGACTCCAGAGCAACGAGCAGCCGAAATGTGTTCTCGTGAGATGAGCGCAGGGACAGCTATGAAGAGGGAAGCTATCTTCTGCTTCTTCCCAGGCTGGGGTGTGAGGGTCTCAACCTTTCTCCTGAACCTCTTTCTCTAGAAGGCCACTTAATTACTGACATACACTTTGTCTAAAACCGCCGACCACCACTTGCAAGAAATAAAATGCTTGACTTTCACGTGGTTTGGAGAAACTAATGAAGTGGATGATCCTAGTAAGTGGGGAACCCTCCTTGGAAGTACAAGGCAATTAGATATATTTCCTCTTAAGCGAACAGTTCAAGGAAGTTCTGGCAGGAGGTGCTCAGTAGCTGGAGTGCCTGAGTGTTTAAAGGGATGTTTTGAGATTACAAATCAGGTTTAACCTTCTTTTAGATTCTCCTTTTGGGTTTCTGAAGAACCAGCCAAGTAGATTCCTACTCCTGCTGCTGTTTCCTTTTTCTGTTTGCTTGACATCCAAGGATAACCTTTGACTGTACAGATTCAGAATTCACACTGCTGAGCATACGGTCCCCATGTATTATCTCCACATTTTCACCACTGGCTTAGCTACGCATGTGTCTGCTGGGTGTTTCCTCGCAGGTGCCTTGCCACTTACTCTGAATTGCTTCAGAGCTGAGTTGCTGTTTCATCTTTCCAAATCACCTTCTTAAAACATTTATTCTTTCTAGGTTACAGCTTTAAAGCTACCTTGCACTCCCTTCATACCCAGACTGCCTCTAAGTTCTGTTGCTGCTCTTTTGCAATATCAAACAAAATAAGCTTTTCTGCCTTTTTTTTTTTTTTTTCTGTCTTGTCCTGCCTCTCTGATGAACCATCCCAATTTTTCTTAGCCCAAGCACTTTTCTTTCATGCCCTTTTGGCCATGTCTCTCTATGTACTGCAGTTTAAAGCCCGATCAGTAATGTGCAGCTTTTCTGCCTGTAATTTAAGGTTTTTCCCTTTTTAACAGCTTTCTTTGCAAGCCTGATCTTCCTTTGAGTCCTTTTCCCCTTCTGCCCCTCTTGCTTCTGAGGAAGCTCCCAGTTGCTGTCTCCAGTCTGCTGCTGAAAACTCCTGCGTTCCATAAAGCCTGCCAGTAGCAAAAATGTCCATGTGCCATCCTGTGGTACCTTGGCTGTGCTGTACTCTCTTAATAATTTGAAGGGCTTCAAGGGGAAAAATTTATATTTTGTCTATTAAAAAAAAAAAGAAAGCAAGCATTGTTGCTGCCTGGGTCGTAAGAGTGAGAGAGTTTTTTTAATTCTGAAAATAAATCTCTATATATGCATATACATAAACACACACGTATATATCTCTCCTGTCTATGTTACTTATATCCCATCTATGGAATGCAAGGTGAATATACCATCCAAGTATGTGTCATTAAAAAATATTATTCTTTTAATATGTCGTTCAAAATGTTGATTTTAATCTACTGCAAAAATATAATATGCTTATATGTATTTTATTATAGTTTATTGTTTTCTGGTAGGTTTTTTTAAAGCCCACAGTATCATAATATTTTTCTTCTTTAAGATGCACATGGTAATTTGTAATGTCATTTAAAGGCGCATGGCCTGGCCCTAACTGATGTGTTTAATAACTATCATCTGTGTCCTTCTGACTAATAAATAGTTCTGTTTCCTGCTGTCAAAAATTGAAGTGAAATGCATGTGCATCAGAGAAAGAGAAAAATCAAATTCATCCCTCCTCAGACAATCAATCAAAAGTGACAGGCCCTTTAACATACAATTTGTAGGGCACTGTAGTTTTAAAATGGGAACTGTCTGTAACATGTAGCTAGAAGCCTTTGTGGCTTTAGCATTTGACAAAAGCACATCCACCGAATGGAAGAACAAGGCAATATATACTTCGAGAGACTTTAGGAAAACACTTTCTCCTCAAGCAGCAGGTCCCTCTGTAAACCTAGATATCCTCATAAGATGCCACGTTTGTACATCTGTGTCCAAAATGTGGCACTTCGTATTGCATTTATCTGGTACTTGGTTTCTCGAGGCTCACTGCTGCTGCCCCTGACGTGTTTTTTTTCCACGTTTAAAACAAGCTGTCTGCATTTGACAATATGACTAATTCATGATGTGTGGCAGCTGATTCCTTTAAAATACATCTTGCAAATATTTCTGTTAACTGCCAGAAAAAACAAAGCGTGTGAAAATATAGTGACATAAGATTTTAATTTGAATTACAAAAAGAATCTGATAATTTAAGCCAACAGTTCTCTTGATTTTGATGCGTTTTAAGCAGAAATTAGAATTTATATTACATGGTGTCAGAAAGCTCTTAGCATTTATAAATGCTCACTCCTGCAAGTTAAAAATCCTGGTTCATAATTCCCACTCTGGGTCTTGTGAGGCACTTTTCAATCATTTCTCTCTGCTAATTTTGGTGTCACCCTCATTTCTTTTTAAAAGATTCATTTTGAGCAAATTTGTAAATGGCCCTGATGTGTTCTACAATTTAGTCAATTACTGTTTCAGCCTGCAAGCCTCCTGGGAAACGGAACATACATGGCCTGAAGGTACAAATTTCAATAATTGTTTCAGTAAAGTTAGATGGATTTGTAATGCTGTGTTCCACTTATTGAAATGTCAAATAAAACTGCACTTTCTTGAGCTCTGACAAGCAGATTTTTTTTTAATTTTTTTTTTTGTGAGGGTGGGAGAAGGATTCATCTGCTGGGTGTTGGCTGCGATATCTGTATATGCGGTTTTATTAAAAATGGAATTGCCTTTCTTTTTGTTTTTAACCTCTGTTAATAAGGTTCCTAAATTTTAATATTCAGTTTATCAACTAACGTCTGCTGCTACTTCAAAGAGTTTAAAAAACCCCACCGTATTAATTTGATTTCAGTAATTTATCTAAGTGTGGAAGGCACTGCAATGAAATTCTTTTAGGTTGTTTGATTCGTACAGGTATGCTTATTGCTTCCATATTCATACTCATTTTGAAAGGCAGAATACTACGAACATATTAAATGATTGTTTAGTTTTTAAAAAGAGAATAAATGGTGGGCGTGTCATCTCTTTTTCTGTATTATTTAGCTAAGCTTTTAAGATGCAAAGATAGTATATTGTAGTCCGTGAATTGTATAGCCTGCTAACCTACATACAGGCGAGACCTCAACCATCGGCATGCCTAGCAACAAGCTAATTAACCTTCATAGTGAAATGAGAAATTCATGGCAAATTACAGGTTAATTAGAATAGTGTCCTCTGAACACAAACGACTGATAAAGATCCTTTCCCTGCCCGCAGGTAAATACGCGAGCAGGGTCTGCTAATAATAGCAGTTCGGCAGTCTCGGATTCCCTTCCAAGCAATAGGTAAGAGTCAAGAACGGGAGCATATGTTTTGTTTTTCTTTTCTTTTCTTAAAACAAAATGGAACCTTGTGTGCGGTAGTTACCAGCGATAAGCTTGATGGTGAATAACTTTTTCAATATGACTACTGGGCACGCAGGAGTGAAGCGGGGAAGAAGAAATTACCTTGATTCATGGATCTTGTTAGACTCGTACTGCTGGTTGTTCAGGAGAAGTATTTTCTGCCAAAAGAAATAAGTCTTTGCTGGGTATTTCAGATGGCTTTGTCCTTTAGAAAACATTGAAATGCTGTTTGTGGGTGAGCTAAATTGTTTTAGTTGATCTAATAATCACTGTCTGTGGCAAGGTCTGCATGCTTGGGTTTTTGTTGCTTATCTCATTCCAGGATTCTTTGATTTTGAAATTTGATACCCGATTCAGTAGGTTTATCATTGTGGGATAAGATTTTTGAAAAATCTGAACAGCCTAGGAGCCCTGTTTCATACAGTTTCAGCAAAGTTTGGGAGTCCGTTTCCCTTATCTTTCTTTTTAGATTCCAGTCCTAATTTGAAAACCCATATTAAGATCTTAAAATGCATGAGAACTCGTTCTCCTTTTTCTTAGAGATCTGTTTTTAAATACTCGAACACAAACTCCCTTTTATTACATGAACTGTTGCAGTAAGTCATTATACTCAATACTGATGTTAAATAAACAAAAAACCCATAAAAACCCATTATGTATTTTTAAAAGGAAATAGGAAACGTCTGGCTTCATCATCTTCATAGAAGAGCGTATTTGAAACGTGGGAATAGAGATCTCTGGAGGTCCCTTTCAACCTAAATTATTCTATTATTCTAATAAGCACATAATATTACATTTATCTGTGCATCAGTATGCTGCTCCCTTTTCTCTCCGAGAGCATTTTGGGGGGGGGGGGGGGGGGGGGGGGCGGAAATGTTTTCGCCAGGGATGGACATGATGAAAGACACAGTCAGCCAGCACTGGGCACGTCGGGGGGGTGAGGTGTCGGTCCCCGTTCCGGCAGACACGGCGACGTGCACGTCCCACGCGGCCCGTCTGGGCGCGGTAGGAGCGGTGTGACGTGGCGGCAGCGCTGGAGCTGTGCTACGGAGGGTGGCCCCATTCAAGTACCGCTAAAACTGGTTTTTGATTTCCTCTTTAGTGGCTTTGTTAATTGAGGAGATAAAAAAAAAAAAAGCCAATACCCTGTGGCAGTCTCCTCTGGCAAAGTTTGCCCCCCTTCCCCTGGGGAAGATTTGCTGTGTGTGGCGGTGGTGAAGATCCCGTCCAAGACTTTTTAAAGAAAATAAATCTGAATGTCTTTATGAACTGCAGTCCTCCTCCCAATCTATCGTGCCACTAAATAAAGCTGCTTTCTGTTGCTGTTGTGCTTTGGTTTTCAGTACTTCCTCTACTTTGAGCTTGTTCTTAAAGTGCATTGAAAATGAGGCTTCTAGAAGATTCTTGTCACCTTATTTGGTGGTTAATTGCCATTCCTTTTCCGAAACCTTCTGCACTATGAGTTTTGTTTTTGAAGTAATTGAAAGTCTCTCTTTGTTTCATGTTCACAAATTGTTAGTCATGAAAGATGACAAGATCAACTTATGTTTCCTTGGAAAACTTAATTTTTCTTTAAAGTAGTAGTGGGAACAAGAGGCCTATTAAAGAACAAAGCCACCAAGTATGAAATCTGTGTTTTCACTGTTCTTGTTAATAATAATCTGTGATCAAGACACGTGCACATGCCTTTCAAGAATATATCATTTTGTACTTTTTTTTTTGTCAACTTGAGTAATAAGAGCAGAATGTCTCTTTGAGATTAAGTTTTGCAGACATATTGCTACCCAGGCAGTTTGTTGTGTTGAACGTACAAGGAAGAGAGTTTGTCAGGAAAGGAGGTGAAGCAGTATTCTGCGGGTGGGTGGAAGTAGTTTGAAGCCATTAGTAGTTTTACCTACAAAACACGCCAAGCTGATAGTTGCAGTTTGTTAAAGTTCTCTTACTAGAAAAAAACAAGAGGGGCCATTTTGCGTAATGTAGGACTACTGACACAAGGGTAGTTTTTCCTGGAAAAGCCCAGGGACTGCAGCAGCAGGTTGACCTGGAGCGGATGCACGTGGCAATCTGGACTCAGTCCCTTCAATTTAGGCACATCCCCGAGATGCCTAAACCAGGAGTTGTACTCGCCTGCTCACCCTGCTTGCAGTCCACGATCAGTTGAGGTGGTGAGGTGTCGTCGACGGTACACCCTTCTGCTGCAGATTTACAGAAATTACTGAGGGATAATGGCTTAAGGAGTTCTAAAACAGGATAAGCACGTGAAAACTAGATATGAACCTTATTTTCCCGTTGGTTTTTGAAACAGCTGGTGTGTGATGGTATTTTTTTTTTTCTTCTTTGAACTGACAAACAATAAGTTGTATCTCAAAGGGCAGTGTAGTCAGGTATCTAAAAAAGCTGGTTTGTAAAGCTGAAAAATATATCGATTTTCTTAAATGTTCATTGCCTCACCACTTATGCTGTCTACAGTTTGAGGAGTAGCTATACTGAACATCAGTCAGCATTGCTAAAGTTAAATCTTTCAGAATATGTAACCATGAACTTCACCTTATGGCTTGTTGTTTCTTACAGTTTCACTTAATTTTAGAGAATGAAATGGCGGAGTCATTAAAAATAATCGCCTCTTATTTTTTCAGCTTAAAAAAGTCTTCTGCAGAGCTGAAGAAAATACTTGCAAACGGCCAGGTAGGTGCACTGAATTGACTCTTAGCTACATGCATGTCTCGTTACTGCCTAATACTGCGGTGATTGGCATACCACAAATAGGTGGAGAGATGCTTACTGCTCATTTAGCTGTAATGTGTTCTTTTAATACAGAACTGGAGGGACCATGAAAACCTTCATTATATGAATGAGTTATGTGTCCTGATTTACTTTGATTGGCACAGCAATTTGCTTTCCATTTCTCAAAATGTGCTAATCAGATTTAGCTCCAAATAGATTGAAGTACCTCACACATGTTGCGCTGCTGCCACAATTTCAGGGAAGAAAGTTAATCAATTTTGAATAACCGAGTCAACTGCTCAGTTAGAATGTCCTTCGTATTTTTTAGGGCAGTAGATACTTAAATATTTAGCAGGTTCTTGCAAGGAACAGCTCTGTACTATTTGGAATCGACTTCTTAACAAAAAAAAAGAAAAAAAAACACCAAGCAAAACAAAACAAAACAAAAAAAACAAAACAAAACAAACAAAAAAAAAACCAAACCCCACAACAAATGAAGGACCAAACCAAAACCCCAAAGTTGTAGAAAGCTGTCTTGTTACTTCTTCTTCCTGTTCCAGGCATTCAAATTCTGGCACCCAGAACTGAAAGGTTTAATGTAACAATTGATGGACAAGTGGATATCCCGGACAAACGGAGCAATCATTTCTTACCCGTTTTGAGCTGAATGTATGGGCAGGCTTACAGCAGCATAATGACATTAAATATACACCATTAAATTAAACTACCTTAAAAGAATCCCGGATTCTCCAGCAGCAACATAAATATGTTTTAATGTTTGTCATAGTGAAAGCCCTTTGATAGCCTTGGCGGCAGGCTCCTGTCCGTTGCGATCAAGCTTGCCTATTAGGCTCTATTGACTGAGACATCTGTGTCACTGCAAATAAAAGACTCTTACTGATTTTCTTAACTGCTGTTCACTTCCCCTCCATGTTTCGAAGGCTGAAATCTTAATTATCTCAGATGCGTATTCAGTGCCTTCACACAATGACCTCTCCAAGCCTCATTGGCATTTCATGAATCAAGTAGTTGTAGTTGAGCGTGTCAAGAAGATAAAGGCTGGTCTTCATGCTTGTCCTTCAGTATCACCTGTAACATTGCGGTCTAATAGATGAGAGTGCCCCTCTAAAATGTGACTCAAACAGCCCAGTATTGCAGCCTTGCCTCTTTGGCACCGAATCCTTTGAACACGGCTTGGAAATGTATTTTTAAGCTTGTCAGTGTTCCTTCTGTGCACATTTAGTTTGACATTCACAGATTCCTCCCAGGTAGATCTGTTAATGCTTCAAAGTTAGAGCTAAACAATGTATTTTTCTGGATAACATAAAATTATGCAAGTACCAGCAGCACGCTTCTGAACTTTTAAAATTAGGTTGATAATTACTCCAGTATTACTAATTCTTATTGAAGCAGAATTACTGAATGTGCGTAAAAGCCATCTTTTTATGATTGAGTCCATAAGCTATATCTGGCATTTTACTTGTTCTAAGTAATAGAAATTTGTATTTTGTGTGCCCTACAGTATATTGTTACAGATTTATTTCCTGCACAGAAGAATTTTAGAAAAATATAAAGTAACCAGAACTCTTATTATGTTGTGGTACTTAAACCCATTTCAAAAAAAAAAGAAAACAAAAAACAAACCAAAAAAAAATTCAAAATGGGATGTAATACTATTTTAGTCATCTTGCTCTGATAGGAGTTGCACTGCTCTCTGTCAAGAGAAACTGCTTTTTGTTATGCTGCATTGTGTTCTGCAAAATTTGGTCACAGATCCATAATGGAAATAGGTTTCTAGTTGTAACTTTAACTCTTCCCTTTTTTGGGGGATTAAGTCACACTTATCATTAGTTAAATATGGTTGGGTTGTTATTTTTTATTATTTTTTTGGCAGTTTATGCTTTCAGGCATTCATAATGATATTCCTCTAGTAGTTTCCATTTAGGTTTAATAAGGAATTCATATTAATCATTAAAAGAAGGAGACATGATTCTTCAAGATAATCAAATATTGACAGGTTAGAAATAGCTTTCTGCCTAGGTTCATTGATATAGGTGATGCGATATAAATATTTATTTCTTTTCTGTCACTCAGAGTAAATGCCACCAATTGATTCAGCATTGATATAGTGTCAACAGTTCATAAGAAACATTTGACTGGCTTGTGTTTTCCGATTAGTCTCTGCTCTATAAAGTGGGATTTACTAAATCTCTTCAATTGTCTGCTCATAGAGTGTGACTGCTTTCTGAAACTATTATTGCTTCGATTCGTAAAGCAAAGGTATGGCTATAGGACTTTGCCTCTGTCAGGCCTCTACATATAAAATAAGGATTAATTGAGCATTTTGTTTTTAATGATTTACAAGAGAGACACACTGATTTCTTTCAAAACCAGCAGGTATAAGCAAGGGATGTTTTGTTTGCTGATCCGTAATTGAAGTCTGTTTCGCTTTTTCATTAATTCTGTTAATATTGGCATCCAATCAAACTTGGTTTTGCAGGTTTAATATTCCAGTCCATACCGTCGAGTTCGTTGTTATTATGTTATCATTTTATGATTGAGAATCCAGTTTTCCCAGTAAAATAAATAAATCACCGCATGTTTTTGGCATCTTTATTTGCGCCAGTAAATCACGCTTTATCTCTCTATCAGTCGCTGGCAGATCCTTGCTCCACCCCAGTCTCCCCGCTTCTCCCTGGGTTTCTGGTTGCTCCTTTGTGCACGGAGACGAGAAGCGGTGCGGGGCTGGCAGCGGGCGCCAGCGGCGCCGCATCGGAGGACGGGGCTGCTCCTGGCGCTGGCTTGCAGGGAACGGTGTGAAGAAAATGCTCTCCTTTCGCCAGTTAGCAAAAAGCGGGGAGAAGAGAGAGCACGCTTTATGTCTCCGGTTCTGCTCAATTTGTTGCTTGGAACTTGTGTAGCTACAAAAAAAAAAAAAAAAAAAAAATTACATCTCCCCCCCTCCCCCCCCAAGAAGCAAAGATACACGTATGTTCATAGCTTTGTGGATTCATTTGATTTCTCTTAAGAGTTTTGTTTGGATGAACGTTGCTGTGAATGTAGGAGAGAGATGTTTGTTGTTACCTCAAAGACTGCAGAATTAAAGTCCTCTAGCTTAGAAGAGCAGAACTCCTTAACAGTGTGTGCTTTAAATTAATGAGTACTGCAGTCTGAGAGAAATTAGGTTTTGAGCAAGGGATCCAGTAGAGATTCTTTACATATTTTAAAGCCCGTTCATGAATTATTGTTCCTTATGAGGTGTCTTCTTTTTTTCCCTCTTTATTTGCATTTTTCTGATTGATGCCATAAGCAAGAGAGTTTTCAGTAATAAAATAAATTTTTATTTTCATCATAAACCTTGAGACTTGAATGGGCCATTTCATATCCTATCAAGATATCTGGCCCAGGTTTAACTACAAATAGGTAATAATGTAGAGTCTGCTTCTGCTTTGATGTATTTCAAACTTTCGCAGAACTTGGGGAGTTTTGACCTCGCTGGAAGAAACGCATAGAGGAAAAGTATTTCCTGCGGAAAACGAGTATGCGTTTTCTTCAGGTAGTGAAATGAAAGAGCACAAATTTTGGAGTTTATCATTTCTATCCTTAAAACGCATTATTTTAAATCAATTAAATGTTCCATTTTCTGTTTGCAAGACATGCTGAGTATTGACTCCTTAGGGCATTTCAGCTTGTTACCACCACTTAGGTGTTCCAGTTGAAGCCAGGGGCAAAGTTCCTCTTATCTTCACTGACATCATATGAAAGTGGATGCTTAAACATGGCCAAGTAACTGAAGGGCACGTGTCCCCGCTGGATTTTAAAAGCCATTTCACAAGTTGGATAAATGCAGATAGTTAGCTTATGGCGAGCTCTGTGTGGCTCTCACCATGGTGCTAGTGGTACTTGAAATAGCTAATTTGAAGCTATCTCAGATGTGCTTATGTGGTTTCTAATCACATCGGCGATAGCAGACCAGACATGTCATTAAGGTTTTTCTGATGACTTTTAACACACAAAAATGACAGAGTCTTCAAGCGGCCATTCTAGCGCATGTAAAATGTTTAACTTGGAATCCCATCAAATGTAAGTAGTTAATAGAAAAAAGTTAATGATTTGGTAACAAATTCCTAGGAAAAATAGGAGTTGCTCAGACACTTACTACTTACGATGATCAGACAATGGATGAGATTTTTTGGAGGAGATTTTGCAAATGCATGCAGCCCAGAATTTACTCTCATTAAAATATTTATTCTCAAGTATTCATGTGCATTCCAAAAATGTTTGTAGTGATTTTTTTTTTTTTTTTTTTAATGGGTGGTTTAGCTGGAAGATCAGTGTAACCGTATTTGGAAATGAGAAGGTTGAACTGTAGTTTTACATTTGAGTTGCTCTTCCAGCAAGGTGATGTATGATAAGCTTTTATAAGATCTGTACCGGAAAGATCTGAAATTCTAGCATTTGCAATTGAGAGTGCTTGTTTGTATCAGGCTTCTGCTCAAATATCTGAGGATATTATCACATCCGGAGAGCTGTCGCAGTGAACAGAAAGATTGAGGCAAGAAATTAGTTGTGTATTTCTAGGAAAATTATTTTTATTGGACAGCAATTCAAGACTTATTTTTTCCGGAATATTCGCTTTAGTTATATAAATCAAGCACTACAGAGGAATCCTACTGACAGAACTGTCACTCAATTAGTATCAATTATGCTGATTCCAGAATAAATCATAAACTTTTCTGGCCATACTTAAGATGACAGTTTTCTGTTGGATTGTTTCCATTCACCTCCAACTTTGGCTTTGGTTATGTGCTGTTCTGGAGACCCTTTTCCTATCAGTATCTGTGACCTGACCCTCTTGAGCTATATTATATCATTCCATTTTGACACCTTTTATCAAACTTTAATGAAATGACCCAGGCAAACAAATTGTCATTAAACTTTCCATCACTTTGTCCCTTGGTATCGTCTTTTATAAATTGGACAGCAAATGTTGTATTGATCTTCTCGTTCTTGCAGCTGAACTTGAAATGACCCAGACTGCTTGTTGTTTATGGCCTAGAGTTGCTTTTCCTTGACATTTCCATCCACAGCATGACATCTCTTTTGTTTTTCTTTCTTTCTTGTGGAGATGAATGAACAAGACATACGGTATCGAGACATCCTCGGTCATGGCAATGGAGGCACAGTCTACAAGTGAGTGTTGAATTTCACTTCAAATTTTGGAAAATAAAATTTAACAGCTCTTATTTTTTTATTTTTTTTTTACCCTTCTTATTTGTATTGAGATGTAGGTGGGCCATTGCTGCTATGCAGAAAAGATTACGAAAGAAATTTTTAATATAAACTTTTTAAGAAATCTCTTTACATATTTACAAGGTATCTGCTCTTGGGTGCCGTGAGGGCTGGTGCATTTTTATTATCTTTTTAATACTTAGCTTTGAATCCCTCCTGGGTAACAAGTTAATGGTTCGCAAGTGGAACTCGAAATGTCCTGAAGCATAATGAATTGTCTTCAGTATTTGCAATACCATTATTCTTGCTGGCTTACCACGCCCTTTGCTAGCCCGGTACTGAGAATGACACCAGTGGGATGTGATGACACCGTTGCTCTGCCTTTCTCTAACAATTCAAAATTAGTAAATACCCATTTTACTGTTGCAGTGGCTTCCCTCCCTTACAAGCAGCTTCACGCACAGGCTGATGAATATATTAAATGATAAACTCCCCCAAATTTTGGTAGTGAAGCTTATACCCTGCAGCCAGCATTAATTTTAATATTGTAAAGATTATAATAGCAGAGAGATAGTTTTCTCGACAGGAAAGTCTTTCTCATGCATAGTGCAAAGTTTAAACTACATAATGTAATATCTGGTACTTAATAGTCTGCAGTGGTGTATGAAAAATATTCCACTAGGAATTAAGAAATCCATAGTTTGTAAGAAAGCCCTGAGGGAGTAATAAAGGTTTCCTCCAGAGAGCTATTTACCATATACAGTAACCCAGCATCCCATTATGATTTTGTTTATACCTTAGACATTTTAACTTTGATAATAACATTTTTTTTAAAATGTTTTAAAAGCTACGGTGCATTTAGTTTAGTTTCTAATTGGCTGCCAACATTGCAAAACGACCCTCCTTGCAGCAGCTTTAATGAAAATGGACTTCCAAAAACCTTAAGGGAACAAAGGCAGTCCTTCAGAAATTCAGGTAAAATCTGTAGATGGGATGCAGTTCAGAAATCTCATTGACGTTCCCTTGTAGAAGGGTATTCCTAGACCAAGAAACTTGCAGAACCGTTGTCGTTTCCTTACTTGATACTAAGAAAGATGTGAGAGAGAGTGTTGAACTTAACAGCTCAGTCAGTGACCTCTCGGTGTGTTTTCTGATTCAGAGGAGGTCGCTTCCCTTCCCCGTGTACGGACGGAGGCTCCGGGAGTGGGTGTAGGTGGGAGAAGCATCGCAAAGGAGAAGCCACGGGCTCTGGTCCCTCTGGAAGGCACCTGGGGCATAGTTCGGGACAAGAAATACCCCACAAAGTGAGGGAGCCCACATGTGTCGTTGTTACCCAGTTTGGGGTCACTTTCTTTAGAGAAGGAACTGAAATAAGGAGCTGGCAATGCAAAATTACGAGTTGCCTAAGAATGGCCATACCAGGTTGTACCAAAAGTCTCTCCCCTTCATCCCATGTCGTGCCGTGGCCAGTGGCCAAAGTCTGAGGAGTGTAAACCAAGGCAAGTGAACACGTGCTTCATGAATCTTTTTGCACTGAGGATCCGCTGGACTTAATGTCTGCTTGTCGCCTTGTGTCTGCTTTACAAGGAGCAGCTCTAGTCCGTATTTGCTGCGTGTGCATAGTCTGTACAATGATATAGTGCTTCTAGGTGCAGAAGGCGGTATAAAAATGTCTCATTATTTTCTAATGCTGCCACATGTGTAGTATATATTCCACACGTCTTAAAATTCTTATGGGAAATTTGGCTAAAATGCTGTGCAAAGCCAAACTTGCACCTTCTGACTTGTTTCTGTATTTCTGAAGGGTAGTATAGTTAAGTGCCTGTTCTTTGTTTAATATTTTTACAAAAATGTTTTTCTCTTGTGATGAATACTACTTCAGTAAGAGTCTGCAGGAGTGATGAAGGAAAAAAGATGTGAACACCCAAGGTGCAGAGGATAATAGCCCAGGAGGGAATGCATAGTACTTCTGGCACTTCCACATTGACTTGCTGCATTGTGTGGACCGATGCTGTGATCTCCTTTGTTAAATGGTTGAGCGTTGCATTTGCCTGCAATTTGGGAAAGTAAAACATTTTACCTGTGAAAACATGAGCCCCCCTCTGTATTAGGGGAGTATTTCTGCCTTTCTTTTTCCTTTTTATGACATTCATAATTTGAATTGGCAGTTGCGGTAACTTCACAGTATTTTCTCCAGTGCAGTTGTCATTCTGCACTGCTCCAGGGAATGTAGACTGTTTTTACAGGCAGATGTCTTACATGTCCCTGAAGTTGGACTTTCTTTGCGATGCAAATAATAGCAGGATATAAATATGACATTCGGTTTTCTCCCCAAAGTGGCTTCTAAGCGATGCATTCCTCTCAGGTCTTCCCAAATTTGTTTCTTGGTGCGTTGGGTTGAAGAGTTGTGCCCATTCACTCTCCCATCCCCGAAGAGCTGCTGGTTGCCGTTGTCGCAGGGAGTTGGCGGTTACCGTGCTGTGGGGATGCGCTTTGGACAAAGCACAGACACAACTTCCTACCTTGGAACAGTCACCCCTTTGTAAAGGGGACCCTGTTCTCCCTCGCCAAAGCAGCAAGCCAGTAAGAAATTGCAAAATGGAATGCTTACAGGTAGCTGGATTGTGCTAGTCTTAGATAGCAGCCCACGTATATTTTATTCCAGTAAATCAATGAACATTTGTCAAATAAAATGAATTGTAAATGTTTGGCTGTTTTCCTCTTCCAGCACCGCATGCTGTCGGTTTGTTTCAGAAGAGGCTATGTGTAGTATTGATCCGAGTCTAAAGAACGAGCATGTCTACGTGGCATCTTTTTTTTTCTTTCTTTCTAGCTCTTTATACTAAGTCATATCCATTATGGCAATGATATATTATCAGCATTCAGCCAACAAGATAGCGTGTCGCAGGTCGCTGAGCAAAAATTTTCAGCCTCTCTTTCCACGTGAATTAACTACTATTGAAATAGTTTATTGAGATTGAAGTATTGATCACTTTTCATGCTAACCTTGTCTTAAGGGGGAGAGGGGAGGTGGTTTTACTCTATTTGGAAGACGCTATGTTTAGTTAGAAAATGTATTTCATTTATTTGGGTTCTTCACAGCTTCAACTGTTTTATTGCTTGGAGAAGAGGTATCTTAGCTTTATTTTTATGACAGTATAATTATACTTTAGAAATACACTTGATTACTGTGTGTAGCAAAATTGTTCCAGTATATTGGCTTGGCCAATATTGCTATACAAACAACTTTTCAGTCAATTGAGTCTGGTAAAAAATCAATACTTTATAGCAATATTTCTAGCGAGAACTTGCTGAATCTAAATGTTTTTCCTGTTCTAAAAAGAAGGGACTTCACAGTTGTTTGACTTCCTATTTTCCCCCTACCTTTTGATACACTGTTTTCTTAATTAAGGAAAGATAACAATTATAGGCTTATATATGGCAAAACCAGCTAATTATTCTTGCTTTCTGATTGCTTGTATTTTCAAAAATATATGAGGACACACAAATAATCCCAAACTGCATGTTCAGAAAGTATCTTTGAATATACAAACGATAGGAAAGGAAGAATTCTTCCACTGGTGCATAGTGGGCAGCGTGTGCCCTGTCTTGAGTAAAGATTGCCAAGTGGTGATGAAATCTGCCGTAACAAGCACCGAAGCCACACCGGTATCTTTATCTTCTGTTTGCCGGTGTTGTAGGCCGTTCGCATCATTAACTGGGATTCCCATCTTCTGTGGAGTATCATAAGTCCAATTTTATGAATTTTTGGAAACTCTCAGCTGCCATTATTTCGGGGAGGCTTGACCTCACGAGAGGGCCCTTAGACGTTACATTGGTAGATGCATGACCTTCTATCTCTGTCTCATTTTTTCTCAACTATTTTATAGAAATTGGTAGGATGGAGAATGCACAGTTCCGGCTGCTTCACAGCAGAAGAAAACATCTGTATACCAGTACATCTATGGTATTTTCTTAATTTTTTTTTTTTTTTTTTTTTAAATCATTCACTGGTAGGTCCAAAAGACGCTTAAGGTATGTGCTTCTGTGGCACATTTTTTAGCTCCGTCACTGGCTGCAGAGCTCTGAGAGACTGTTTTGGTAAGATTGCTCCTTTTTACTTCAGTAGAAGATGGGTAACGTTTTGGTTTGTAATGGAAGGTATGTGCTCTGCCAGCCAGTCTCGGGAGCGGCTACATGGAATTATTTAGACCTAAAATCCTTAGTTCTGTACATTTTGAACCTAAGTATTACAAAGTAGCAATATTTATCTCTGGCAGATAATTACTCTGTGAAGTCTCTCTCACATGACATATCAGTATTTTTTTCCTTTATATACAAGCAAAAAGAATATTTTCCTCTTATTTCATGTTTTCTAGTTTTTGCATTGCAGTTGTAGCTAATGAGAAGCGAGATGTTCAAGGAACTCTGTTTAGGGGATGGTACAGCCTTCTGTGAACCTGGGATTTTTTTTTTTCAAAAACGTGTGTTGTGTATGGTTTGTAAATCTTTGGATCCTGTTAGAGGAGTCTTCAGCAGCAGCAAGCCATAACGCTCTGTGTACTGACATAAACATAAAGTGCCCATGATGCCGTAATTAATTTGTGAAGTTACCTAGTATCTGAGAGAGAGGGAAGGAGAGGGAGAATCTGTTATCATCTTAGAAAAACGCGGTTAAACCAGACGGCTTCACTTTAAGTTGAGTAATTGGGAGAGAAGTGGCTGTTGATGATGTACCGTCCAGAAGAACTGTATAGCTAGGGAAAATACGGGTAAATGCGGAAGCTTAATTTGTTTGAGCAATTTACTTGAGCAATTTTGCTGTTCGGCTGAGTTGTACATTCCAGCATATGCCCGTTTCTTTATTCTCTATCTCAACCAACCTTGGGGTGCCCCATTAGCACATTAAACATAGCGCGTGGCAAGACAGCTGGGAAGTTGCTATCTCTTGCAAGACAGCC